CTACACTGTCTCGGCAGGTCCCTGGCCTACACTGCCTCGGCAGGTGCCTGGCCTACACTGTCTCGGCAGGTCTCTGGCCTACACTGTCTCGGCAGGTCTCTGGCCTACACTGCCTCGGCAGGTCTCTGGTCTACACTGTCTCGGCAGGTCTCTGGCCTACACTGTCTCGGCAGGTCTCTGGCCTACACTGTCTCGGCAGGTCCCTGGCCTACACTGCCTCGGCAGGTCCCTGGCCTACACTGTCTCGGCAGGTCCCTGGCCTACACTGTCTCGGCAGGTCCCTGGCCTACACTGCCTCGGCAGGTCCCTGGCCTACACTGTCTCAGCAGGTCCCTGGCCTACACTGCCTCGGCAGGTCCCTGGCCTACACTGCCTCGGCAGGTCCCTGGCCTACACTGTCTCGGCAGGTCCCTGGCCTACACTGTCTCGGCAGGTCCTGGCCTACACTGTCTCGGCAGGTCTCTGGCCTACACTGCCTCGGCAGGTCTCTGGCCTACACTGCCTCGGCAGGTCTCTGGTCTACACTGTCTCGGCAGGTCTCTGGCCTACACTGTCTCGGCAGGTCTCTGGCCTACACTGTCTCGGCAGGTCCCTGGCCTACACTGTCTCGGCAGGTCTCTGGCCTACACTGTCTCGGCAGGTCTCTGGCCTACACTGTCTCGGCAGGTCTCTGGCCTACACTGTCTCGGCAGGTCTCTGGCCTACACTGCCTCGGCAGGTCCCTGGCCTACACTGTCTCGGCAGGTCCCTGGCCTACACTGTCTCGGCAGGTCTCTGGCCTACACTGTCTCGGCAGGTCTCTGGCCTACACTGCCTCGGCAGGTCTCTGGTCTACACTGTCTCGGCAGGTCCCTGGCCTACACTGTCTCGGCAGGTCCCTGGCCTACACTGTCTCGGCAGGTCCCTGGCCTACACTGTCTCGGCAGGTCTCTGGCCTACACTGTCTCGGCAGGTCTCTGGCCTACACTGTCTCGGCAGGTCCCTGGCCTACACTGTCTCGGCAGGTCCCTGGCCTACACTGTCTCGGCAGGTCTCTGGCCTACACTGTCTCGGCAGGTCTCTGGCCTACACTGTCTCGGCAGGTTTCTGGCCTACACTGTCTCGGCAGGTCCCTGGCCTACACTGTCTCGACAGGTCCCTGGCCTACACTGTCTCGACAGGTCCCTGGCCTACACTGCCTCGGCAGGTCCCTGGCCTACACCTGGTCTCGTTTCGCAGGTCCCTGGCCTACACTGCTCGGCAGGTCCCTGGCCTACACTGTCTCGGCAGGTCTCTTTGGTCTCTGGCCTACACTATCTCGGCAGGTCTCTGGTCTCTGGCCTACACTGTCTCGGCAGGTCCCTGGCCTACACTGTCTCGGCAGGTCTCTGGCCTACACTGTCTCGGCAGGTCTCTGGTCTCTGGCCTACACTGTCTCGGCAGGTCTCTGGCCTACACTGTCTCGGCAGGTCCCTGGCCTACACTGTCTCGGCAGGTCCTGGCCTACACTGCCTCGGCAGGTCCCTGGCCTACACTGTCTCGGCAGGTCCCTGGCCTACACTGTCTTGGCAGGTCCCTGGCCTACACTGCCTCGGCAGGTCCTGGCCTACACTGTCTCGGCAGGTCCCTGGCCTACACTGTCTTGGCAGGTCTGGCCTTACACTGCTCGGCAGGTCCCTGGCCTACACTGTCTCGGCAGGTCTCTGGCCTACACTGCTCGGCAGGTCCCTGGCCTACACTGTCTCGGCAGGTCTCTGGTCTACACTGTCTGGCAGGTCTCTGGCCTACACTGTCTCGGCATCCCTGGCCTACACTGTCTCGGCAGGTCCCTGGCCTACACTGTCTCGGCAGATCCTGGCCTACACTGTCTCGGCAGGTCTCTGGCCTACACTGTCTCGGCAGGTCTCTGGCCTACACTGTCTCGGCAGGTCCCTGGCCTACACTGTTCGGCAGGTCCTTGGACCTACACTGTCTCGGCAGGTCTCTGGCCTACACTGTCTCGGCAGGTCTCTGGTGTCTCTGGCTACACTGTCTCGGCAGGTCTCTGGCCTACACTGTCTCGGCAGGTCTCTGGCCTACACTGTCTCGGCAGGTCCCTGGCCCTATGCTCCACCTGTACAGCTCGGCAGGTCCCTGGCCTACACTGTCTCGGCAGGTCCCTGGCCTACACTGTCTCGGCAGGTCTCTGGTCTACACTGTCTCGGCAGGTCCCTGGCCTACACTGTCTCGGCAGGTCTCTGGCCCACACTGTCTCGGCAGGTCCCTGGCCTACACTGTCTCGGCAGGTCTCTGGCCTACACTGTCTCGGCAGGTCCTGGCCTACACTGTCTCGGCAGGTCTCTGGCCTACACTGTCTCGGCAGGTCTCTGGTCTCTGGCCTACACTGTCTCGGCAGGTCTCTGGCCTACACTGTCTCGGCAGGTCCCTGGCCTACACTGTCTCGGCAGGTCCCTGGCCTACACTGTCTCGGCAGGTCTCTGGCCTACACTGTCTCGGCAGGTCCCTGGCCTACACTGTCTCGGCAGGTCTCTGGCCTACACTGTCTCGGCAGGTCCCTGGCCTACACTGTCTCGGCAGATCCCTGGCCTACACTGTCTCGGCAGGTCTCTGGCCTACACTGTCTCGGCAGGTCCCTGGCCTACACTGTCTCGGCAGGTCCCTGGCCTACACTCTCGGCAGGTCCCTGGCCTACACTCTCTCGGCAGGTCTCTGGCCTACACTGTCTCGGCAGGTCCCTGGCCTACACTGTCTCGGCAGGTCCCTGGCCTACACTGTCTCAGCAGATCCCTGGCCTACACTGTCTCAGCAGGTCCCTGGCCTACACTGTCTCGGCAGGTCTCTGGCCTACACTTCCGGGCTGCCTCATGCGGCAGGTCCCTGGCCTACACTGCTCGGCAGTCCCTGGCCTACACTGCATCGGCAGGTCCCTGGCCTACACTGCATCGGCAGGTCCCTGGCCTACACTGTCTCGGCAGGTCCCTGGCCTACATTGTCTCGGCAGGTCCCTGGCCTACACTGTCTCGGCAGGTCCCTGGCCTACACTGTCTCGGCAGGTCCCTGGCCTACACTGTCTCGGCAGGTCCCTGGCCTACACTGTCTCGGCAGGTCCCTGGCCTACATTGTCTCGGCAGGTCCCTGGCCTACACTGCCTCGGCAGGTCCCTGGCCTACATTGTCTCGGCAGGGTCCCTGGCATAACACTGTCTCGGCAGGTCCCTGGCCTACACTGTCTCGGCAGGTCCCTGGCCTACACTGTCTCGGCAGGTCCCTGGCCTACACTGTCTCAGCAGGTCCCTGGCCTACACTGTCTCGGCAGGTCCCTGGCCTACACTGCCTCATCAGGTCCCTGGCAAACACTGCCTCATCAGGTCCCTGGCCTACACTGCCTCATCAGGTCCCTGGCCTACACTGCCTCATCAGGTCCCTGGCCTACACTGCCTCATCAGGTCCCTGGCCTACACTGCCTCATCAGGTCCCTGGCAAACACTGCCTCATCAGGTCCCTGGCAAACACTGCGTCGGCAGGTTCCTGGCCTACACTGCCTCGGCAGGTCCCTGGCTTACACTGAGGCTAGTCCCTGGCTGGTTGACTAGTCGTAGGATAGTAGAAGATGAGTAGTCTTGGATCACGAATGTTGACATAGTGTTCTCTTATTGCTGCTCTGGTATTCTTCCTTTTTACTGGATTTATTTTACACTTCCTGCCATGTCTTTCACTCCATTGTGTTGTTATAGTAGTGAGCAGGTCTGGGACCAGGAGCTCGAGTATCTTCCATGTATATTATCAGGTATCTCTCTCTCTCTCTCTCTCTCTCTCTCTCTCTCTCTCTCTCTCTCTCTCTCTCTCTCTCTCTCCCAGAGAGATGCCTGATAATATACATAAGGAGAGGCGTTCCCAACAGTTTAAATACATAATTTTCTCTTAAGTAGGCAAAAAATTATTTCTGTATGTTTTCCATGTGTGATATCTGTTGTGCCGTGAACGGTGTCATCACTGAACAATACTGTAAGCGAGAGCACAAGTGATTTGACCAGTGTCGTTAATGGCACTGTTTCTATAAGACTAATCTTTATTTCTACAAGTACATGTACAAGGTATACAGTCCTAGCTGACATCAGTGATATACTATATAGAAAGCCCTTTGTTATGCAGAGCATTTCGGGCAAATTAGGCCATTTTTCTTCTCAGGATGCGACTCACACCAATCGACTAACACCCAGGTACCTATTTTATTGATAGGTGAACATGGACAGCAGGTATTTTAAGGAAACACGTCCTGATGTTTTCACACGTACCGGGAATCGAACCACGGACCTCAGTGTGTGAGCTGAGTGCGCTACCAATCGAGTTCTCATAATCATCCTTGTCGTTTTCGTGGCTTCTGCAGCATTTGCTTTGTGTTCTCTAAATGCTGGCTCATCTGACACTATAATAGTCAAGTCTGTTACATGTTCGTTTCGTTCTTGGAGATGGTTCTCCAGTGTTCTGCATCCAGTGCTCCTTCTGAGTTCTTCATTCTTCCCATATCTGGGCAGTTGGAATTTGTCACCATTGAACGTCAAGGTATTTTCCACTGTGTACTTGTAGACTTTACTTACATCATCTTGTAATTTGTCGACGACTTCTGCAGATGTGATTTTCATGCATCATCGTCCGTAAAGGATGATACAAAGCTGTGGCGAGTCTTTTTTTATCTCTTTTATGAGATAAGAATCAGTGAAGGTGCCAGGACCGTGCCTTGGGGTACTGAACTTTTTACTTTGCCAAGGCTAGAATCTGCTTTGTTTACTGCTGTTCTTTGTGTTTCTATTCGTAAGAATATTTAATATCCACATTTCTGCATTCTTGTTATACCTACTGACCATATTCATGTGCTGTCACTCCTTGATTATATTTGACAAAGGTCTTAGAGGAGATATTGTAGACCACGTCTACATCTTGGATATCTTCTAAAACCTCTGTTGTTCTCTTCATAAAGATGTGGAAGTTGTGGTAAGCATGATGATCTTGCCATATATCCATGTTAACTTGGGTTGTTCAGCTCACGCTTTTCCATAACGTTTGTAGCTGGTGCGTCTGGACACCCTCTCAAAGATTGTTATGATGTCGTGATTTAAGGTGTTCTCAAGTGTTATTTGCATACCATGTGCTACCATCTCTTTGCAGAGATATATCTGCACTCTTCAACTGGCCCTGATTTCACAGAACTAAGTTTTCTCCAGAAATTGATTCTAACTTGCACTAAACACTTTAATTCAACGATTCCAGAGATTCAGTTTCGTGTTGAGTGATACAGCAGTGTTCATCTGTTTTATTATTTCATGAGCAGATATATTGTTTCAGTACGTGTACTGATTTTAATGAAGGCAGATGGCTTGAACCTTTTGAAGAACGTGTTTATTCGAAGAATGATTCAACTGAACAATTGAATTCATACTGACATGATTCATGTGAACAATGATTCATTCAAGAAAAGGTTCATACGAACAGTGATCATAGAACAGGATTCATACAGAACTGGATTCATTCAGAACTGATTCATACAGAACAGTGATTTACGAACATGATTCATGCAGAAATAATTCAACAGAACTTGATTTCATACGAACATGATTCATAACAGAACAGTGATTCATACACAACCAGTGATTTCAGAATTGATTCATGACAGAACTGATTACTTCAGACATTGTGATTCTTCAGAACAGATTCATCATACAAGTGATTCATACAGAACAGTAGATTCATACAGAACATAGATTCATACAGAACATGATCATACAGAACAGATTCATAAGAACAGTGATTTCATTCAGAACTTGGATTCTACAGATTATGTTATATTACAGAACAGTGATTAACAAGCATGAACTGATTCATACAGAACAGTGATTCATACAGAACGATGATTCATACAGAACAAGAGATTCATACAGAACATGATTCATGGTTGATCATGTTCGATACAGAACATGAGTTCATACTGAACAGTGATCATACTGAACGTGTTATCAGAACTGATTCATACAGAAATGATTCATGCAGAAAAAATTCAAACAGAACAGTGATTCATACGGAACAGAGATTCATACAGAACAGTGATTCATACAGAACAGTGATTCATACAGAACAGTGATTCATACAACAGTGATTCATAACAGTAGATTCATTCAGAACAGATGATTCATACAGAACAGTGATTCATACAGAACGGATTCATCAGAACATGACATACAAAAGTGATTCATACAGAACAGAGATTCATACAGAACAGTGATTCATCCAGAACATAGATTCATACAGAACAGTGATTCATACAGAACAGTGATTCATACAGAACAGTATTTATAACAGAACAGTGATTCCAACAGAACAGATTCATACAGAACAGTGATTCATACAGAAGGAGATTCATACAGAACAGAGATTCATACAGAACAGACATTCAATACAGAACAGAAGATTCATACAGAACGTGATTCATACAGAACAGATGATTCATACAGAACGATGATTCATACAGAACATGATTCATACAGAACAGTGATTCATACAGAACAGTGATTCATACAGAACAATTCAAACAGAAAAGGATTTCATACAGAACAGGATTCATACAGAACATGATTCATACAGAACAGTATGATTACATCTAGCAAACAAATTCATCAGAACAGAGATTCATACAGAAACAGTGATTCATACAAACAGAGTTCATACAGAACAGTGTATACGAACATAGATTCATACAGAACAGTGATTCATATAGAACAGAGATTCATACAGAAAAGTGATTCATACAAAACAGTGATTCACACAGAACAGATTCATACAGAACAGTGATTCATACAGAACAGATTCATACAGAACAGTGATTCATACAGAACAGAGATTCATACAGAACAGTGATTCATACAGAACAGTGATTCATACAGAACAATGATTCAGACAGAACAGAGATTCATACAGAACAGAGATTCATACGGAACAGAATCATACAGTACAGTGATTCATACAGAACAGTGATTCATACAGAACAGTGATTCATACAGAACTGATTCATACAGAACAGTGATTCATAGAGAACAGAGATTCACATAGAACAGTGATTCATACAGAACAGTGATTCATACAAACAGTGATTCACAGAACAGTGATTCATAGTGATTCATAGAGAACAGTGATTCATACAGAACAGTGATTCATAGAGAACAGTGATTCATACAGAACAGAGATTCATACAGAACAGTGATTCATACAGAACAGTGATTCATACAGAACAGTGATTCATACAGAACAGTGATTCATACAGAACAGTGATTCATACAGAACAGAGATTCATACAGAACAGTGATTCATACAGAACAGTGATTCAGACAGAACTGATTCATACAGATCTGATTCATACAGAACAGTGATTCATAGAGAACAGTGATTCACAGAGAACAGTGATTCATACAGAACTGATTCATACAGAACAGTGATTCATAGAGAACAGTGATTCATACAGAACTGATTCATACAGAACATGATTCATAGAGAACAGAGATTCACAGAAAACAGTGATTCATACAGAACAGTGATTCATAGAGAACAGTGATTCATACAGAACAGTGATTCATACAGAACAGTGATTCATGCAAAACAGTGATTCATGCCGAACAGTGATTCCTGCAGAACAGAGATTCATACAGAACAGTGATTCATACAGTACAGTGATTCATACAGAACAGTGATTCATACAGAACAGAAATTCACACAGAACAGTGATTCTACAGAACAGTGATTACAATACAAATACACACGAACAGTGATTCACAGAGAATATTGATTCATACAGAACAGCGATTCGTACGGAACAGTGATTCATACAGAACAGTCATTCATACAGAACAGTGATTCATAGAGAACAGTGAATCATACAGAACAGTGATTCATACAGAAGAGTGATTCATCAGAACAGTGATTCATACAGAAACAGTGATTCACAAGAACAGTGATTCATACAGAACAGTGATTCATACAGAACTAGTGAATATCATACAGAAACAGTGATTCATACAGAACAGTGATTCATGCAGAACAGTGATTCATACAGAACAGTGATTCACGCAGAACATTGATTCATACAGAACAGTGATGCATACAGGACAGTGATTCATACAGAACAGTGATTCATCGAACAGATATTCACCAGAACAGTAGATTCATACAGAAACAGTGATTCATACAGAACAGTGATTCATACAGAACAGTGATTCATACAGACATAGATTCATCACAGAACAGTGATTCTACAGAACAGTGATTCATCAGAACATCATTCAACAAACAGTGATTCATACAGAACAGTGATCATACAGAACATTGATTCATACAGAGCAGTGATTCATGCAGACAGTGATTCATACAGAACAGTGATTCATACAGAACAGTGATTCATACAGAACAGTGATTCATACAGAACAGTGATTCATACAGAACAGTGATTCATACAGAACAGTGATTCATGCAGAACAGTGATTCATACAGAACAGTGATTCACCAAAACAGTGATTCATACAAACAGTGATCATACAGACAGTGATTATACAGAACAGTGATTACATGCAGAACAGTGATTCTCAGAACAGTGATTCAATCAGAACAGTGATTCATACAGAACAGTGATTCTACAGAAACAGTGATTCATCAGAAACAGAAATTCACAAAAACAGTGATTCATACAGAAACAGTGATTCATACAGAACAGTGAATTCACACAAAACAGTGATTCATACAGAACAGTGATTCATACAGAACAGTGATTCATACAGAACAGTGATTCATACAGAACAGTGATTCATACAGAACAGTGATTCATACAGAACAGTGATTCATACAGAACAGTGATTCACACAGAACAGTGATTCATACAGAACAGTGATTCATACAGAACAGTGATTCATACAGAACAGTGATTCATACAGAACAGTGATTCATACAGAACAGTGATTCATACAGAACAGTGATTCATACAGAACAGTGATTCATACAGAACAGTGATTCAGACAGAACTGATTCTTACAGAACAGTGATTCATACAGAACAGTGATTCATACAGAACAGTGATTCATACAAAACAGTGATTCATACAAAACAGTGATTCATACAGAACAGTGATTCATACAAAACAGTGATTCATACAGAACAGTGATTCATACAGAACAGTGATTCATACAGAACAGTGATTCATACAGAACAGTGATTCATACAGAACAGTGATTCATACAGAACAGTGACTCACATAAAACAATGTTTCATACTTGACTTTCAGTTCATCTCATGACCGTCATCATAAAAGTGTATTATGCTGAGTATTTATGCTTTGCATTTTTGCTGTGTTTATGCTGTGTGTTTATGCTGTGTTTATGCTGTGTATTATTACTGCTGATTTTTATGTTATAATTTATGCGTTTATCTGTATTATGCTGTAGTTTGTGTTTATATATGCGTTGTTCATAGACGTATTTCGAAATTATTATATGCGTTTATATGCTGTATTTATGTTCGTGTTAAATGACTGTGTTTATCAGACTGTATTTGTAAGAATCATGCTGTATTTATGCTGTGTTTATGCTGTGTATTTATCACGGACCATCTAGTGAAATTTTTGAGTGAGTGTACACTGAAGTATATAATAAAGTACAGTGTTCCCTCCTGGTAGTGCTGTTGTTACAATGTTCCCTTCTGGTTAGTGTTTGTTGTTACAATGCTCACCTCTTGGTATGTGTGTTGTTGTTTACATGGCTCCCTCTGGTATGTTTGTTGTTAATGCGTCTTTCTGGTATTGCTGTTGTTACAATGCTCGCTCCTGGTATGCTGTTTTTAGCAATGCTCCTTCGGGTTTAGTGCTGTTGTTACATGCTCCTTGGTAGTGCTGTTTGTTAAATGCTCCCACTTGTAGTGTGTTGTACAATGTTCCCTCCTGGTAGTGCTGTTGTTACAATGTTCCCTCCTGGTAGTGCTGTTGTTACAATGCT